TTTTTCTTTATCCGGAACAAAATTTTTTTTTTTTTTTTTTTTTTAACTGCTCACTGTCAACTACGTAGAGCTTAAAAGACATTCATAAGTGAATGATGGCAAGTTGTGGACATTTCTTAAGTGGATAGAAAACAGGTGCAAAATTGAAGAGAGGTGGTCAACGGGAGAAAGATGACGCTTTGGGTGCCTTGATGACTACCAGGCTGGGATTGTACATTCCTGAAAATAACTACAAGAAAAAAGGCATCAGGAGAGAATTGTTTGGAATCTGTAGCTACATGAAGGAAAGGGAGGAAATCAAACTTTGACTGTTCAGTGAATGCAATTCATTCTTAGGTGAATAATTTGGATGTATAAGCATAGCTCGTGTCGGAATAAATTATTTTGTCAAAATTTGTGACGTTGCTGGTTCATTCCTGTAATAATTTTGTACCGCTATTCCAGAATACTATACACACACACACACAAGGGCTGAACAGTGTGTGTGTGTGTGTGTGTGTGTGTGTGTGTGTGTGTGTGTGTGTGTGCGTGCGTGAACATATATGCAGAAATAAATTGCAATGCTGCTATGATTCAACGATGAATGACACCCGCTGACCATCTACAAGTGGAATTCAAAGGAATTAAAAAAGGACTTAAAAGCGCCACAATACACTTGGAAAATAATATTTTGTTGTCTTTGCAGAATCAAAACATGCACTCGGATTTGTATGCAAACGACATTTTTTTTGGTACCTCCTACCGCCTGGTGGTCTCATGTTCTCATCGATTTGATTTGATCTGAAAAGAGCATCCAAAGTGAAACAAATCAGATACATGGTCAATTTTCAAAATACTAATTTGGGAGACACACGCACACGCACATGGACGCACACACGCGACTGGGATTACCTTGTAACCATTCCACACCCTCCTGTAAACCATCTCCTTTCAGCGCGTCAGTTGCACTGAAAGAAACACCAACATTCGAATGTTAGATAATCACAACATGTTGCCTGTGAACACGTTACACGTCTGTCATTTATTCTCAACAAACAGCACCGCAACTCTCAGGACAAACTCATTGATTCTCAACAAACAGCAGCGCAAATCTCAGTACAAACATGAAATGGATTAAGTCATGTGTCAAGCAGGACGACGCTTTGACGGACGTAGCTCGAGCTCCTGTCCAGTTTTAGGTTTAGTCAAACAAGTAGTACTGCTCAGAAATTGAGTTCCCGATTTTTTAAAATGTTTTTTAATTATTTTCCATTACTGAAGAAGCATAGCCCGGAATGCTCTCAAATTGTGGTCAAGTATAGCTTGTGGTGGTCTCACGTGTCCGCCGTATTGTGAGCGAATCACTGCACACTTTACACACACAGCTCACTTGTGTTGCTGAAAAGCAGCCTGCTTTTGAAAACCGCTCAAAATGTCTCTTTTTTATTCAATTTCCAACTCAGCCCCATCGAGAGGACGAGAGCAGCTTCCGCGCGTTTCCCAACGCCGAGGAACGATTTTACTGCAGATTGCGGCGCCAAGTGCAGATCGAGTCCTACCAGATGTGCCAAGGTTTGTCCTTGATATTGTCCAAGCACAGCAGCTGGGAAACTTTCACTGATGACAGCGCGTCTCGGACGTCCATCTTGTTAGCCAAGAACAGGATGGGAATTCGCTTGTGTTTAATATCTACGGTGAGACAAGACATGGATGTTGTGAGATGGATGGCGTCGTAAGCTAATCATTGAGACAACTCAAGGAAAAATAAATACACAAATGCTACAGAGAGCAATCATTTGTACCAGTGCAGGCAACACGGGCCAATATCATGAGCGACTCAAAGGCTATCAAGGATCTAGAGAGCCAGAAGTTACGTTTTATGCAGATCCGCAGCTATTTCTGGCAAATGAAAAACTCTCAAAATATTTTGCAGAAATATCGTCAACCAACATGCTTAACTGAATTCAACTTTTCATGTTAAATTTGAGCGCACGGCAGAAATGATGTGGTTCAAAGTTTGGCTGCCAGTGGCCAGCAAGTGACACGCAAATAATTACATTGACAAAATGCGCAACAATTTAAAAAGAATCCATCATAACGGCATGTTTCGGTCCCTCCGTGCACGCACACACAAACTCACCAGGATGATTTAACAAGGTGTCCAATTCCTCTTTGGCCACAACCATCCTGAGCTTATCCGCGCTGTCGATGACAAAGATGACAGCTTGGCCCTCCCTGCACAAGACAATTTGCGCAATGTGAATAAACGCATCCGGACGATGACCGCAACGTCTCTGTGACCCAACTGACTTGTAGTAGTGCTCCCACAGGTTTCTGTATCTGCCTTGGCCTGACATGTCAAACACCGTGAAGGAAAGGCTGCACAAAGACAAGACATTCCGTGACTGGTCAAGAGTGAAGACACAACAAGTTAGCGTGAGATGCTGAAAAGCGACCTGGACGTCTTGAACTTCTCGATGCTGAAACCAATGGTCGGGACGATGTCTTGTGCTTGAGCCTGTGAATGAAATGACAAATGTTATTCCAAAAAAACTGCACGTCATCACCTAGCGGGGGGGGGGGGGG